CAGCTTTTGTCAAATACTACGAAGTTATTAAATCAGTACGGTAAGTAATTGCCCATTTGCCGAAATTGCTTATTTACTTACCCCTTATGGTTTCAAATAGTTCATACACCTCCATTTCGATTTTTTTTAATCAGTGAGGATATATACTCATTGCTGTAACATACTATTGCTCATTCACTTTTATTTGCGTATTGAATCAAAGGGTTAACAAGTTCACCTAACAGTTCACTCATACCGGTCTATATTGTATAGTCTGATCTCTCAAGTATTTGGAGCCACCGATGCTTGTAATTTTCTGACTAAACCCCTTTATTAGTTGGTTTATATACGAAATTCAGTAAAACATTTTTTACATAAAACATGAGATATTGGATTTATTAGCTTTTCCAATCTAAATCATATAGACTGCTTTATTTATTCTTAACGAAAATTATTGAATCTCCTCTCTTTCTTCAGATGTGAAAGTTTTTGAAAAACTTGTCTAAGCATTGTGGGACTCCTACAGCACAAGAGGCAATAGCAAAAATAGTAAGTATATCAATCAAGAAATTAGGCCGATATAAAGCAAAACTTTTAACTATTCGTCCAACCTCAATTTCCTAATATTTATTCACAGGACAACTGTAGCAGAAGGGGATATTTCAGAAGTCTGGCGACATATCAGTGACAGTGTGATTCCAAGAAATACAATCAGAATACTCCATAAATGTTTGCAATAGAAGAACAACCTATGGAGGCATGCAAAGACATTTGAACCTCCGGTAGAGTTGTGTATGGCCCCTACATCCGGCAGGGCTTGAGGAAAATAACTAAAAATTCCGAAGCGTAAGATTGCATAAGCGGTCTTCTTTGTAAAAAGGCACAAAACATGCCAGACATACTCAAAACAGCTTTGGAAAATGAGGATTATGGGTCACTCACTACACCTGTGTTATATTTGATTCATCAACTTTTGGTAGTACTAAAGAAGAAATTCAGGAAAGGGTATAATCATGATTCATGATAAAATACTGTTATATATTTTGGACAACTTCAATCTAGACCAGGGATATCAAACTCGCGGCCTCAGAGAACTTCCAGTGAGGCCCTCGAACGCTTAACAATAATTGTAATAGTATTTTGGAGTTTTTTTTTTATCTAAGTGTAATAGATTTTTCAACCTTTTTAAAGTGAAATTGAATATTCACACAGAAAGCAATTTACTGAAAGTAGTTGTGGAAAATTATTTTTTTTTGTTCACATTTTGACCCAATTAAGAATACACATCAAGCTAGCAAAAGAATACTTGAATAAAACACTTGAGTGAATAAATTAAACGCAAAGTACATGAAGAAGGTGGCATTTTCGAAGAAAATGGGAGTTGCAATATTTCTGCATTTCACAACATTTTGAAGCACATTGTTTAATTTGTCATATTTCCATCAGTACAATGAAAAACACAATAAGCTCAGCAGTCAATATGACAATTTCGAAGACCAACTTCGAACAGAAAATTTCCATGTGTTTGTATATTAATATAAATATACAACGACTTAGTTACTAAAAATCAATATCAATAATAATTCAAGCAATCCTATGCTATGCAATGTGGCGCGAAATGTCTTGTCGAAAATATCTGTCATTTGTTTTTCTACTGATCTATTCATGAAATGATAAAAGTAACTTTTTTGCATTACTGGAATTAATTAAACATTCGCAAAGTTCCAGATTAACCCATGATCATGTGACCTCGTTAGTTAGAGTTGGTACCATAAAATCATTTCAGCCTGGCCTTAGTATGCTGGTGACACAAAGAGATGCCAAACGTCAGGACAAATGTAATTAAAAAAACATTGAGTTTATACTGTAGTATTTTTGTTAATTTTAAGTCCATATATTTAGATTAAGTCATTTTTAGTGTATGTATTATTCTTTCCTTATCCAAAGCTTGTTCAAAAATGATTTTGATGGTTGTATAAAGAATTTTATGATTTTTGTAACTTGCAATAATAGTGGAATGCAAATATTAATATGTAATTGCATTTGAAATTAAAGAAAATAATAAAACTTATTCAACTGTTTAGTTGCATCACAATATATGTCACAAACTAAAACTATCTGAAAAACATATCTTTCAAGTATACATTATCAAAAAGTGTTTTCGGCCCTTTTTACAATTTCCAAAATGCAATGCGGCTCTCGAAAACCCATGCGTTTGACACCACTGATCTATTCTAGACAATTCAAGAATTGCTTTGGGAAATAATATCACTTCAATTAAATTGAAAAAAATCTCGCTACATAAATACAAAATCGTTGCTATCATAAAGGTAAACCAATTCAGCCACTCGGAATATATTGGCCTTCACAAAGCAATGGAGGCAAAATTGAGAGTTCGTGAGCTATGAACTTTTGTTCTTTTCTTTGTCTTGAACTTTTCATACTCCACAGCCCCTATTAATTTTTTTTTAATTTTAAGTACCATGTGATGGTCATACATATCTTTAACTTGTATTTTCTGTCATGATGTATTATCTCAATGTGTCAAACCGTAGTAGTATATATTTACGGTCAAACTTTTAATTAGTGTGCATATTTTGCTTCCAGAAGACATAAATGTACAGTATTGTCTTGTTTATTACCTCAGCTTGGAGTATTGACAAGAAAAAGGTGCCCGTAAAACTCTTTGTTATAATCAGAATTCACAATTAATAGGAATCATAAACAGCCAACATTCAATGAGAATTATATGCCAAATCCCTCAGAATAAATTTGTCTTCTAAAATTGGAGGAAGGCAAAACATATAGGTAGATTCCATTCATACAAGTCTTTCAAGAAAACTTACTCGAGCCAAACTAAATGAGCATCGTCAGATGATCGGTAAGGCTGCAAGTTGAATCAGCCCTACAATCTCCCGCATAGAAGATATTAATTAGTGGACTATGAACTAAATTCCTACATTTAGACACAAACATATCTACGAGGCATTATGTACCAGCAATGTTACCTACGGTTAACTAAATATGTAATTATGTCTAATAAATTAACCTACTAAAGCAAGTTCGATAGGTGCAAACTAGTGTTATGGAATTGTATCACAGCACCGTTAAGAGAAGTAAAAACAGTTTTGCTGTTTTGTATGACACTCTCTTTAAATGAAATTTCAATGTTTAAGCGCAAACATTAAAATTACTAACTTTGAACTTTGTCATTATCTGCAAAATGTTCCACAAAATCTTTACGCTATCGCGTTTGTAATCTTCTCTGATAAAAAAAAACGTCTATGATGTCCAGAATTACTCTTTACAGCTTGTCTGCCATTCCAGCTTTCCAAGTGAGCAAAACTTCTTAGATATAGAGATTATTTTCTTTCGTTACAGGCGCAAAAAGGCAGGCACTACGCGTAAAGAAGACGCCGGGTAGCAAAAGCGAGCGGAAAACGGTCGCGAAAGGCGACGAGAAATATGTGCATTGGAGCGTATAATGAAATACAATCTTTCGCATGTAGTCTTATGGAGTGACGTCAGAGTTGCCTATCATGTTGTTTAATGTCATTGGTGACATTGGCCAATCAGCAAGATGCAAAAAAGGACGTAACAATGAGAGGAATTTTTCGCGGGTCAAAGGTTGGGGAAAGGTCCATGGTCTTTTTGCTTCGCAATATTTCGATCAGACCAAATCTTGCAAGCTGGTATTTGTCGACAATTGTGGAGGTATAATATTTTGGCATCTTTATATTACTGGATTATTGATTTTAAAACCATTTAAACCGATTTACATTGGTGAGCAATTGCAAATTTTCGGCGTGCAAAATTGATTTCGCTCGCGTGCATTTTTGCGGAGCGCTAGCGCCCTCGGGCGTGCACCTGCCATGGAATCCAGTCTGGGATACCGGTACCGTACCGTACGGTACTGCCGTGTGCGAGGAGCATTTTATTTTGTCAATAATATTAAATCAAGCTAGTATAGGTTGTTTCTGTCGAACATATTGGACTGGGAGGCAGCTGACTGATCTTTAAAATAACGAATACTGAAATAGATGGATAGGGATGTCAAAAGGGGTGCATAACGCACATTTGTGTTTTAGGCCAGTACCGGTACGGTACTGACGGTACGGCACGGTCTTGTGCATGCATCCCGTCTTAAATAATAATAACTGTTCATTTATTTATGTATCACTATTACGAGACGAATAAACATACATAGGCTTACATAGTTTATTTGAATACTCCGTAATATACAAAAATTTAAAATGGAGAATTCTGGAGGGCGAGCAAAACCTTTGAAACACGAGAGATATCATGTGCCCGCCAACCAGCACACACACAAAATTAAATTACAAAAAACACACTTATACTAAAACATAAACCTAGTAAAAACGAGGCTAGGGCCAGAAATAATCAAACAAAAGATTCTTGAATGTATTGAACTTTCTCCGGCTGTTATACTTTCTAAACACCCAAGCTATTGCAGTAATAATGAACAATTCAATATGTGCAGTATATGCCAGCAATATGTACTTAATTGAATGTTTATTTTGTGACATTGCGATAAACCGAAGATCTTTGGCGTCAAATGTAAACCTTTATTAACGGATAATGTCATTTCCAATTCTCAAAAAATGTCTATTATGATCTATTGATCATCACAAAATGAAACCCGCGACACCAGATTACTCTAATGGGCTTAGTACGGTACCGTACTGGAAAATAAGTCTCGCCACCAGGCCACAACTGTCGTAATTCCGCTAACTTCAGGCGTTATATACAGGATTGAGGCAATTGGACAGGATAGGTATATTAAGCAGGAAGGCTTTGCTAGCGTGAGAATAAGTAAGATATTTCATATTAATCGTATGTCAAATCACTACCTCACATGCAGTGACTAGTCGAATGTTCATATGCATGGGTGGTGAAGGAATCTGCAGCGGACTTGGGGTCGGCAAGCTAACTTTTTAGACACGGAGTGGACCAGGGATCGTTTTTTTTTATTATGTGGTTGTTGGTCATCATGTTGTTAGTATTTAGTTTTCTTGTAAAAAAAAATCGCTTTTCTTATTAATTGCTTTAAACTTTTTAGTTGACGTTGTCATAAAAAATTGCGAACCTTGTAGCGGTTACGTTTGGCAGTTCGATTTGGACTTGGTGTCCATGTATTTGAGTATCGCTCTCTTATTATAGGGAATTATAAAAATTATGTCACCTTTTCCTTCCTTCAGAAGCAAGTACTCTTATTCAATATTTTTAGGCCCATCCCAAAGCTTCTGAACTTTAATTAGGTTTTTTACTCTCGAGAGATGAACTCTGAAAATGTACCTGATAGACTGAAAGCATTGGAAGAGATTGAAAAAAAGATAACCAGTGCTTTAAACAATGCAGGTAAATTACTTTTTCTGAACCTCATCAACATGTCTACAGTGTATTATCAACCAGTATATTTCGTTCATTCCAATAATCCTGACAAGACTACAAACGAGAATATCGGTCGGAGACTTATCGATCTTAGATCGGTAATTAGTTAATAACTCGCTAATTATACATAATTAACCCAAAATCTATAGGCTTCTGGTCCGAGGTAAGATGCATTCACATGCAAAATTTGGAGCAGATTCAACCACGCGTTCGTGAGATATCGCGTTCATCTAACAGACACACAGACAGACATACATACATACAGACAAATACCTTATCAATATACTTACCGATCTTAAGATCGATAAGTAATGATATAGCTAAAGGGCAATACCACAAAAATTCATATTGTTTTACACTTCTAGCACTGGCACTTCAAGAATTGGGTAAAGATAGACCGATGGAAAAAAATGTTGAAAAACATTCAGCAAGCTATATGAAGGCATTGGAAGAAGTTGAAACTGATATGCTGATGCAGATAAATTATTTAACACAGGTGAAGATAATATACCTCTAACCACAGTTGTTATACCAATTTAAAATTTAGCATCCACCTTTGATTACTTGCCAACAATTTATTCAGGGATTAGGGAAGTGTTTCCCAACCAGAGTTCGCGGTCTCAAATGAGTCCGCAACGAGACAGAAATTTACTGCGGGCCGCAAACTTTTTTGCGAAACTTAATTAACTATCAGCCAAGTTAGGATTTGCGTTAGAATTTACAAAAAAAAAACATAAAAAGTCAGTTTATTCACAAGACATTAATGGCGTCAATAACTACGGCTGGGCATATATTCGAATAGCACATTTACTAATCGAAAATTTGGTAACGCGTGACGCGACAGGTCACTTGCGAGTCGCTTAATCAAACGACTAGATTTCACAACTCACTTGTGGATTTCCGATGAAAAACAAGAGTCTGTACACTCTTCGATAGATTCGTTCGTAATAGGTGTTTTTCGCGAGATCGAACAACGAGGAATAAATTATTTTTTTGGTAGATGTAAATGGTGGCAACTCAAATTTTCTAAATTGAAGAGCGGTCCGCGACCGATTGAAAACACTTTTTTAGACATTGCAAATCGCAAAATTTCGGGTGCTACCGTAGTATACTTACCAGGGCATTTTCCTTTAGGCTTCTCTGCTTCTACATTAGTAATGTCGCACAGTAGTAATGTTGAATTCACAAAAATACGAATCAAAACAAGATATAATCGGGCACTTTACCATGCATTTTGCGTCCATGAATTGTCATGGTATTTTCTGAGTAGTATTGCTCTTATTTCGTCAACACAACTGTAGATTAAAAGAATCATACATGTAGATGGATTGAATATTTTATGCAAAAGAAAAAATCATTGAAAAGTCTGCTCTTTAACGAGTGACGGATACGCGACGATTACTTCAGAAGTTGTTTGAGAGAATTTCAAGGCGATGAAAATGTATTTTCGATTTACTAATATATATACCTTAAATATGTTTTTAATAAATACTAAATTAAGTTGGTACATTCTGGAAATTTATAGCAGATAGTATAATTTTTTTCTAACAGCGATAACAAATTCACAAGATCACAAAAAATAGGTATATATCAAAGATGAATATAATCAGGCAATATATTCTCTCATTATTATGTTCGCAGATGGCATGGGAATTTTGAAAAAGTGATGCTTCCATCTCATCGTAAGTCTACGCTACCGCAAGTTACCATGATGAACACAAATAAATTAAAATAGAAACCCATTTTAAATTCTCGTCGTTGTCATGGATTGAATACTGTGCGACAGAAAAGTCCATTATACACCGAAAAAGTCGGCCGAAAAAGGTTGGGAAACGCTGGATTAGGGATATACATAACGTATCTCTTCTACGAGCAAACCCTTGAAGTATAGATAACAGATGATGCAAGATGTTCCACAAAGGTTATATTTGAACAATGTTTTTTTAATTCTTTGCTAGGTTGCAACTGGACAGCAACATGAAGGCTCCTGCTACACAGCCCAGAAAAGGGTGCAGATGTTAAAAGAGACTATAACAGAAATTGAAAATCAAGTTGGGAATATGACGTTATCTCCTGGTAGCAGCAATAGACATAATGGACAATGACACCATTCCTGGTCAATTGTGAGCTGATAAGACACCCTGCAATGCTGGTTGAACAACGAGCTATGTGGTGCTTTGTTCAAGATATTTAAGGTGCAACTAGCCGCAAAGAGACTGTTAGAAGCACGAGACTATATTCCAGAAATAGAAATATCAAAAATAACAGTTCAGGTCTCTAAAAATGAAATATACTGAGTTAACTTTTGTAAATAAGCTTCATTATTAACAGGTGATCCTTCCTGTCGTTTTGCGAGGAGAGGCATGATAAACTTCTGGTCTCCGGAAACAGTCCACCCCATACTTACAGCAAGTTCTAATGCTTCTTGGGTAGTACAACCTTAAAATAAAAGTCAATTTAACTTGAATGTATGAAACCAAAAAATATTTGAGAAGCAGTAAATCTCCAATCATTTATTAAGTAATATGCGAGTTGGAAACTCCCTATCATCAGAATTGATTTTAAGTGTAAGATTGATATTAAAGCTTCCTTCAAAACATTGTTGAAACTAGCAAAATTGTCCATAAAGGCAGGTTGTTGTTGTTAGAAAGTATGAAAAAACCTTGAGAAATCTCAATTTCTGTGAATCAAATCGATAACATATGTACTGTACACACCGAGTAGAGCTGAAGAGGTTTCTGTGCCAATGGATGAATATGATTGTGATATCAGGCAGATGCATTTTTCTTTATGCTTCTTCATAATATCATCAATTATCTTTTGTATTATTTCACTCCAAGTGTACGCAGAGCATTGTTGGAATACACCTTGAAAGTAAAATATAAAATTATTAATAAATCAAATTTTGTTCAATGCAATTTCCACTATGTGCAAAGGCCCTTTTTCTTAAGAATTTTACAGTCTACCTTGAATAAAAACCAATTCAAACAGACTTGCTTGTCTCAGCTATTCCTGCGTTAGAAAAACACTATAGCATGTAGTACTGATAACATTAAATGAGAGGGATGATGCACATGGTGATCACAGTACTTCATTCTGATCACTAATTTCTTTTACCAATCATTCCATTATGGGTCGACTTACTTGCAGAATCCTTTTGCCAGAATGCTTTGCATACTTCCCACAATGCCTTCAGTTCAGCCAATTCCGTTTTGCATTGTGTTGGAATGCGCTTCCATAATAATTTGCTGTTGTTTAAGTCCTCGTGGTATATGTATAATGCAAGGAGTTCACAGTAAACTTCACCAGGAAGTTGACCCTGGTAGTAATAAAATACAATTGACTACTAGGAACTTGCTTATGTTGGTGTTTATGGTGCAGCTTATTTAGTGGGATTGAACAACATAACTATATAACATGGTTGCTTTTAAGATAGTGATCAATAATTTCAATATGTTAAGAAATACTTTTTTCGATAATTCTCGCATTACTCAGTAGGCTATAAGAGCTAAATTTAATAGTAATGAAAACTGATCGGGAGAGCAAACAAAACCTCAAGTAAGGTTGAAAGCGTACAAATTTTAGATGGAGAGGTATTGTTAAACCAAGTAGTACATGTTCGCTCACCCAAAAGTAATAAAACTAATTAGAGCATGCATGCACACACAATCACAGAGACATTCTGAAATAAAAAGGCATCCGTTGCTATATCTGTAGGTCTATTTCTTCACTCTTGGTTTGGTGTTTCCTAAGTCTGTAAGTTGGTGTGGGTACTAAAGTAGATAAATCTAAAAAATCATTGTGTCAGTCTGTGTCTATTGGTTTCCCAGCTTAAAAGGTTTAAATCAAAATACTGAAATACGGTACCTGGGGAGCATCCAGTTCTTGTTCTTCAATCATGGCGAGTCGTTCCGTGGGTGTAATATTGTTATCTCCACTTGCAGAAACCTCCATTCTGAGTACTGTTAAACTACAGAACTAATGCAGTAATGAGAAAAAATCTATGAATACCGAAATACTATTAGTCAGTACAGCAGTATGGATCGCACTTTCAGTTTCAGACCCTTCAGCTCTTAAAACAGTAAAAGGTACCGGCACCGGTAACTTCAATGTTCTGCCCTTGCAGCTGAGGAAAACGTACTTCTTGTAGTGTGTTGTTCTAACTTTAGTGAAAGATAAATAATGGTAGTTCTAATATTTCTATGTCAAGTACAATCACACACGAGATGTCGCGGTTGCATCAAAATAGTTTTAATGAATGTTTTCCCTGAACATCGAGTTCCTTGTTTATTTTCCGTAACAATGACAAATCAGCAATAAGTCAACGATGACGTAACAATGGCAAGTTTGAATCAATCAAAAAGCTCTTTATTGTGACATTTGTTCTTCTTGGATACATTAAAAATGTACCAATATTTCTGGACAACAATATGTAAATCTTAAATCTGAAGCTGATGAAATACCTTGGTGCTGTTTCCTTTGTGAAGACATTCTCTTATCTCTCTGATTCTGAAATATCTGAGTTATTTGTTCCCCTTCATGCAGAAAAAGCTGAAGCCCAGGCACTTACCAAAATTCTTGACCCTGAATACCTCAACAAAATGTTTCTTGAATCAGCCAATACTGATACTGATGAATGGGTGCTCCCGAAGTATGCGAACTAAGATGGCGGACATCGGAACGTAACATGGGTAACAGGTTAGGGGGTAATTTCTTTCCAATTTTCCTTATTTTAGTCCTATTATCAGTTCGAAGACTAGCCAAGAGCCTCCCGTAGTATTTATACCTAAAATTATGGCCTAACCTAATACACATATTACATTCCGATGTCCGCCATCTTGGTTCGCATACTTCGGGAGCCCCGATGAATGAATTCAACAACATTGATAGTGTTTTCTTGTACAATTGCTCAAATCAGTATATCTGCTTCAGTGATGTCAATGCCCTTAAGTTCAACGATAGCCTTAAACTAAGTGGTTTCATGACTCTTTCAATCAATATCAGATCTTGCACTAGTTAATTCACTGAATTGTAAGCCTCATGTAATTGCTGTAAATGAAACATGGATTGTATCTGGTACAAATGGCCATTTCAATGCACTGGATGGCTATGTTTTTATCTCCAATAGTAGGCCTAGATCTCATCACCGAGGTGGTGGTGTTAGTCTCTACATTCGAAATGATTTGAAATACATTGTCCGCAAAGATATTACTATAATGTGCGAAAAGGTTTTTGAATCTATATTCATTGACATATCATTGGAAAATAAAACAATAACCTGCGGTACTATTTATAGATCACCACTAACTGATGAATTGAACAATGCTAACTTTCGGAATATCTTGTCCCACGTTCTCTCAAAGATGAAAAGGTTGAATTATAATTATATAATGGGTGACTTCAACTATAATCTTATTGATGAGTCCAATATGAATACCAGGCTATTTGTTGATATTATGCACAACCTAGCCTATTATTCTCTGATAAACTGCCCAACCAGGATAACCTCAAGTTCTGCTACCTGTATAGACCACATCTGGACAAACGTATTTGATAAAAAAATTAACAGTGCTGTTTTAGCAGAATGTGTGTCTGATCATCTGCCGATTGTACAATGCTCTCTTCTAGAAAAGCAAATTCAGACCAGAATTGAAACGCTTTATCGCCAGTTTACTTTGTCCAGCTTGAATACTTTTATGAATGAACCGAATTCTATTGATATTGATGACTTCAGCAGCATCCAGGATCCCAACACTTGCTTTGAAATTTTTTTTGAAAAATTCTCCACTGCTTACTCTCAATCTTTTCCTTACAAAAAACAGACAAACAGATCAAACAAACCTTGGTTTTACGCAAACTCAACAAAGTCAAACACAAACTTTATCATAAATTAATAAACAATAAAAACATAAATGACAAGCACAAATTACAGTTCAATAAATGCAGGAACCTTTATTCTCGATTGCTCCACAAAAAGAAATCAAATTATTACAAATCTAAATTTGCTTCTCACAAAGGCAACATCAAGGCAGTGTGGAAAACAATTAATGAACTTATTGGTAAAAATAAAACAAATTTTTGTCCTTTGATTGGACTTGATTGCAGTAATACACAAATTGCAAGATATGAAATGTAATTTTTGTCACAACCAGCTGGCTGTGACAAAAATTACATTTCATATCTTGGGAAGCAAGAATCCTCATCCATGTTCTTAAGACCAATTACATCATTAGAAATAAAAAAAATATCATACGCGATATGAAGCCCAAGTCAAGTTTTGGAATCGATGGTATTCCATTCAAAATATTGAAATATGTTATATTTAATCTTTCACTATCTAGTGGATTATTCATTGAAAGCTTCAAGACATCCAAAGTTCTTCCTCTCTTTAAAAAGGGTAGTGTTTTAGATCTTGAAAACTATAGACCTATTAGTCTTTGACCATCATTTTCTAAGATTCTTAAAAAATAACGTATAGTAGAATGTCAAACTACTTTGAAACTAACAATGTTTTCCACTCGCATCAATTTGGTTTCCGCAAGCATCAATTCACTGCTATGGCTGCTAATGTTTTGGTACACAAACTGACCAAGGCGTTTGAATGCAAACAACATGCAATTAGAATATTTTTTGATATCTCAAAAGCTTTTGACACCATTGACCATTCCATCCTCTTAAGTAAGCTCTATCACTATGGAATTAGGGGCGCCCCATTCAATTGGATCAGGAACTACCTTCAAGACAGGCGATATGACAACTCATTCTCTACAAATATTTGTGTCATGAAGCACGGAGTTCCACAAGGATCTTTACTTGGCCCATTATTTTTTCCAGCTTACATTAATGACATGTCCAGGTGTCTGAAATCCTCTGAGTCGATCATGTTTGCTGATGAACTTGATTTTTCATGGGGAAAACCTTGAAGATCTATTCACAGTTGCAAACCAAGAACTAACCAACATTGATAGCTGGATGTTGATTAATAAATTATCTCTGAATGCTAACTAAATTTGTAATATTCCATTCAAGCAAGCATAAAAGTGTGAATTGTTCAAAAAAACTACTGCTCAATGGCAATGAAATTGAAAGAGTGAAAGAAATAAAATTTCTAGGAATTATCTTTGATGAAAATCTGTCATGGAAATCACAAATAATGCATGTTATTGGTAAAACAAAAAAAACCTAGCAGTTTCTGCCAAAGTATCCCAATGTGTTGATCAATCAGCTCTACTAGCAATGTTTCAATCATTACTACTTAGCCATATTCGATATTGTTGTTCAGATTCAGATTCAGATATTTATTTCCGTCATGCAAGAAATATTGTACAAATAAACAGAAAAAATAAATCGAGAGAAGAAATAACAGACGTACAATAATTCGACTGCAATAGACGAGGAGTCGCGAATAAACTATAAAGTTAACGTGTCAGCGACACCTAAATAGCTGTAAACAGCAGCAGATGAAGTCAAATAAACAGGATTTAAACATATATATTTTTTGAATGAACACAATTTGGAAAATGTAAGTCGAATTGGGGAAGTCAGTTAGGAGAAAATAGTTAAATCGAAGATAATCATGAGAAACGAGAGAAAAACAAGAGCGCGTCAGGAGGGGAAAAAATGCTCAAATCGTCAGCGTCATGCTCGGGTCGGCACCGTCACAGCTGTCGGGCTTCTGATTGACATGACGCTGCCTTGCGGAGATAAATTACGGGGAATTCCCAGCAAACCACAATAAGGGAATTAGTTTTGGAGGTATAAATACATAATGAAGTTTGGGCAACAGAATCACAATACGAGAGGTTAAGTACACGGCGAAGAGATTTGGGGCAACGTAGCTTGTGGAAGAATAGTGAAAATATTCAATAACACTGGAAATGAATGATATGAACAAATAAGAAAAACATCACATTCAGCAAAATTGACATCAAATACAGGATTGATGACCAGTGAATTAGACTACTGGATGTTATAAGCATTGAGGTAGTGATTTTTTAATTCTTTTTTAAATGTATTATAGTTCTTAGAGCGTATGGTAACTGGAAGCATATTCCAAAGTTTTATACCAATGAACTTAATGGAATTTTGTGTGCGGCTAGATGAATAGCGAGTCATATAATATGAGCTATTGGCAGAAGACCGAGTTGCATGAGAGTGAATGACGCTTTGCTTAACAAAATAGCCGGAGAATGCAGCCGGCAGTTTTTTATTATGATGTTGGTGCATAATTTTCAGCACTTCAGTTTTATAAATATCTGCATTTTTAAGTATTTTCATCTTATAATAGTAGGATTCTAAATTGCACCGTGGTCCGGCGTGTGTAAGAGCACGGATTGCCCTGTTTTGCATGACTTCAATACGATGCAGTAACATTTTGCTTGCTGAACCCCAGGCCGCAATGCCATATTGGATATGGGACTGGAACAGAGCATAATAAACCATACGTAAAGTTGACACTGAGGTGTATGATCGAAGTTTATACAACATTCCTACCGCCTTAGATAATTTAACGGTAATGTTGGATATGTGAATATCCCAGTTCAATTTATTGTCAATATCGATACCAAGATATTTATACGATTCCACATTTTCCAGAATAGTCCCCCCAATTTGGATTTTTAAACCATCAATGCGTTTTGGTTTTTTAGGAGTTATCAACATAGTTTTTGATTTATCCACATTTAATGTTAGTTTGTTAAGTTCCATCCAATGAGCAACCTTTTGTATTTCAGTATTCACTCTGGATTCAAGCACTACATGAGACTTATCACTATCGAGAAGGTTCGTATCGTCAGCGAATAATTTGGAAAATAGAGTGGAGCTACGTGCAAGATCATTAATATAAATTAAGAACAGAGCCGGACCCAAGGACGAACCCTGGGGAACCCCATGGGTCACAGGTAAGACAGAGGAGCAATATGTACCTATTTGAACATATTGAGTTCTACTTGTCAAATAACTAGTAAGGAGTTGATTTGCTACCCCCCTAATACCGTAATGCCACAACTTATACATTAAAATTTTGTGGTTGACAGTATCAAAAGCTTTTTTAAGGTCGAGAAATGTTGCACTGACATATTCTTTCCTCTCTAATTTATCATATAT